AATAGACCCTCTATAGCGCACATAAAATTAACGCTAGATTTGACATAAATTTACGCGATATTTCGTGTTAATTTAAGTGCAATATCGCATAAATTAGTAATATTGTATGCAAGCTTGTAAATAATTTCACTGCTTATGCCATGTATAGCTCAAAATTAAACGAAGGGAGATTTTACGCTATAGTTAAAATTCAATTTTTTTTTTCTGTATAGTCATCGAAAACAAATAATTTCGGAAATATTTACAAAAAACGATTTTTTGAGAACCTTCTTTTTATTTTTTATATTAAAGTCACTTCAATACTCTTGGGTCATTCATGACTTGTCCGGGCGTGAAATTTGAACTCGTGACTTTGGCGTGAGAAGTATGGTTGTTAACCAGTACGCCGGAGTCACCTATGGAGACCATTCTAAAAAAAAATGATTCATAAATCAAAATCGCAAGCAGATAGAGACATGACGCCTTCTACAAAGTTTTTAGTAATGATACAACCTATAACTGAAGACTCTAGATCTCTATATGGTTAAACTACAAAATTGGATTTGGCAGCACCCCCTGTGGTGAAGTTTCGAACTAAAACTTAACTCCATTCAATGGGTCTTTTCATTTATAAAAACTCTTTTCAAGACACCCTATTGAAAACAACACTGTGAAATGTGCTAATAAAAAAAAGGTCATGGATTTGGCCTTTCACACCACTGTGAGATGTTTCAAAAGTTACTGGAAGGTGATCAGAGCCCCATGGGTAACCAATTGACTACAAAGTTGACATGAATCAGTTAAGACCAAATCAATAGTTGAGAGATTTCTTGCTGAAGAAAAGCATGTTGGGCTTGTTGGATATTGAATAGTGTAATAACCTGCAGAACAATCATCAAACAGAATATTGCCATTGGAATTACCTTGACAAATAGGCAGCAATTAACGGAAGTCCCTTTCAACCTTATGGCCAGGTTTAAGGAACGTTTCAGTTACAACAGCGACATGCACGTTATGAACACAAACTGGATTTGTGGTTTTCTCCACAATGTGAACATTTAATTTTCATATGATCCTTCTTGACAGAACAGTCGTCTTTTGCGTTTGAGGAATCACCACAATTCCTGCATTTCGCAAGCAACAATTTTTTGTTTTATTGAAGTTTTATAGCAGTTGATACAATCAAATTATGAAACCTTCACTGAGGACCACATTGCTTTAACAACCTCCTGACAACCGCTATACAGCCTTGTCATGGCCAATTGGCCCAGTTTTAATGCAATCATTAAAACTTGATATGCGAACTACCTTAGGAGCATAGGTTTTATGTCAGTTCTATCACACTCTACACGCGGTTGTTAATAATGAAAACATAAAACCTACTCCAGGTCAAAAAGTTTTAATAATCTTTTGATGACTAACATAAAACTATGTCACAACCGCAGGAGCGATTTCCTGAATAAGTTGATTAAACATGATACGCAAATCATTTTTACAACCTTGAAGGTTTTAAGTTAGGGTTTTTGTATGATAGTTAATATTGAGAAATATTTTATTGTGCAATAATAGCTGATATTATTGTGTATTGAAAATTAGACGACTTTATTACAATTTTTAACCAATCTGTATATGCTTCACAGCATGCCGTGAAATATTAATGGTGATTATTATACCAAATAGGAGCATACATTTAGCGCGCCATATGAATACTAAAATGAAGGGATATTTTTAATTTGTCTGCATTCCCAGACAACCAGAATGCACGTATATTCAAAGTTGTTTTCGTGGTATACAAACATATATACAAACAAACAATTCGTATATAATGCAAAGAAATGGCTTATACGTACAAAAGTGGAGGCCATATACGTGCATATTTTAATTTAATTTTAAACGAGTTGATTTAACATCATATACGATTTAATCTGTAATAACAAATTCATCTTGAAAAGTCTTACGATGTAATCCGATTTAATTTGTGATACAGTACGATGGAAAGATGAGTCATCGCATATTGGTCGGAAATTTGCATTCTATACGATTTAATTTAAACATAATGCGAGGTATGCCATTCTTATATGCGATTTTGACTAAAACTGTAGCAATTTACGATACTGTCTGTACATTATTATATGACTTCTGGTTGTCTGGGTTAGCACCATGCATTAAAGAGTCATTAAAAGATCATCTATTAAGTACAAAACTGTTACAAATGTTGAGCAATAACCAGTCACATATTATTTAATTGTACATAGATGTATGAAAGTGTTTTATCACCTATCAATTAAAGCGTAATTATTTATACTGTGTGAAATTTGTTCATACGGTGACATTTTTTTCGTTATAACTTGCTACTCCTTAAAAATACCCCAATATAACATATTCTCTTAGATTGGAATTCTATAGCATAACATAAACCTAATGGTTGAATCTTAGCATTTCGTAGTCCAAATTGAGAGCGTTAAGTTATATTTAAGCTCTATAACTAGCTTTCTGGTTTTATTAGGTACAGCGAATCAAAACAAAACAAAAACCATGGCAACCTGTCAAAAAATCAACATTCCAAGCCATCCTCCTATTTTCTCTTGTAATCAAGATGTAAGAAATGCTTATTGGATCCACGAAAAGCTTTTTTTAGGGAAACTGTCTGCGTTGTTTTAAGAAGGGTTCGTGGATCTTTCGGAAATGTATCGGAAAGCCGCTTGTTTAATATTTTTAAGAGCTCATTCACCACTGTGCCTTATGTTATATGAGAGAGCTCATAACTGTAGAACCTAAAGGAGTTTCATATTGGCGATCGTCTCATCTTCATCGTGTTCAAAAGCACTGAAGGGGTTTTCATTTCATGTATCTGAATAGATTTGTTTTTTTTTTATATTGGTAACAATTTTCAGTCTTTTTTTTATTGTTGCAGTATATTTCTTATCTAAAGATGATAGTTGAAATAAGGTTTTAATGAAGGTCTAAGACTGGTTCAAGTTTTATATCGGTCATGAAAAATATACCATAAAACATAATTGTATGTTTTGTTTTGGTTTTATTCTGCAGTTATAAGTAGTGATGCAGAACCACCTTAAAGCTATCGTTAAAACTATGAAGTCTGAGTTTTACTTGACGGCCTGATTTTATGACAAGCACACAAAACCGTAATACAACCACAGGCTGCAAGGGATGCTATGATAAAACAATGATAAAATAAAAATAAATCTTCCAAGCATTTAGATTGTTACTTGGGTTCCGTGACCCCATCCCTGGCGCTTATGGCATTGGATGAGGTCTTGGAAATTTCTTTCAGTCTTCCTGAAGTGTTCCCACTTCACTCGGACATGGAGCATAAAGCTAGATTTATCTAAGGCCTTTAGTTAGCCTTGAAGTGATCTAAATAAAAATAATTGTAAATCCCGGTGCGCGAGTTGCCATGACGGGATTCCATTTTTTTGATTACTTGGACTGGCTCAACTGCAAGTACTTTAATCAATTTATCTTTGATCTGATCCAGGGATTCACCTCTGGGACGTTTAGTTTTGGTGTCGTAAGTGAAAAATGTGTGTTGTTTGATGGTGTGATACTGGAGAAGGCGTTTTAATCCGCCCAAGGTTTCAGTCAATACAAGCCATTCACCTCAACTTCCAATTGAATTTATCGAAGTTCAAAAGTTCCGTGAGAAGAGCATAGAAATGGAAGTGGTGACCCCAACAGGTGGGGACCTTTTTCTTCTTGGCATTAAGGCGAAAACGTTTATTGGAATTTTGCCTGGATGATGGATCATACTCATCATCCGTGAGCATATAAAATTGATTGCTCAAATGAATTTCATCAGAAAGGGGATAAGGCACCATGGAGAACAAAGTTCCTCTATCTCGACTTCCAAGCAGATTACTATAAGAATCCAGAGGATCGAATAGGAATTTTCCAAATCGATGTCCAAGCGTGATTGCCTCGAGAAGGGTCCAAACAAGGATCGAAGAGGAATAAGAGTCAGACAATGTAGAATATTTGCTGGTAATATTTAAAACTGAGAAGTGCTATTGAAATTTGTTGTAGCTTTTGGTAGCAGTAGCAAAAAGCAAGAGAGCACGATGCGAACTGATGTGCGCGTGGTGCTTCGATGGTCATCTCGGTGTTTATTATTCGAGAAAGCAAATGAAGAATAAAAATACAAATAATAGATAAAACCCCAGGATGGAAGCTGTAAACAATCCTGAGTCACTCTAAAACTTCCAATCCTAGATGGTACGTGCCTCCGTTGACAAAGGTTAGTACCCGATTCAGAAAACAGTAAACTTCCCCAAGAACGAGTTCACCGAAGATTGTTTGCACAGTCTTTTATTTTTTAATTGGGGATTTATTTCTATTACCTTGGGCAATAGGGTGCATCATTTTGGAAAAAGTGATAAATTTCTTATAGGTCACCCACCAGGTCAAATAATAACCCCAAATTATGTCCTTGTGCAAAACATTGTAAATATTGATTAAAGTTTAGAGGTCGTGCAAAAAGATTGTAGTTAGTATGAAGATTTCGTTGAATTAGTATGGGAAATAATTGAGTTTCACTTTCAATACGCTAACTTTGGTTGTAGTTGTCCAAACGATGAAAAAAATATGTGTGGTTGTCATGACAATGATTAACAAGCCTGTGATGAAATTGTTGCTGTTGTCTTTCACATTTTCATCATGGTAATTTTTTTCGCATTTCTATCTTTCTTGGTATGCTATATGAACCAATACAACCAATGTTGTGAGAAGTGATTTTTTTAAATTTTCCATGGTAATCCCCAAATTTCCAAACATGTCTGCGACCTGTAAGCCATCATCAATCATTTCCCACTATTTGCACAGGCTCATATTTTGGGGTTATGAACGGTCTAACGTACAGTAAATTTAACACTATTTAAAAAATGAAGCACCCTACTGGGCAACTACCGAAACCTGCGGGGAAAATACGCTCAAACCTTGTTCTGGCAAGAGGCGCATGAGCAACAAATTTCCATCGTTCTTCCAAGCCTTGTGGTGACCGGTCTAGAGGCAGAGTTGGTAGGCTCATATAAATACCTCATCGAGATCAGCAGTAGCGTTTAGTCTCTTTTCGCATCTATTGGGCTGCACAGGCCCACACCTGAGCTGGTTTAACACGCGTCGTCGGTTTATAGCGTCGGTGTACTTTGGCCCGGTGGCATTGTGTTTCGGGCGTTAGTTTTACCTTCATAATCGTGGTGCATTCTAGTCGCAAACTGTGATACTAAAGATCCTCTGTGGCGATTAGATAGTGAGACGCATAACAAAGCGAACCATTTCAAGGGGTTTGGCCGATGTGCAGCAAGTTCAGTAAATACTAAACACTCTGTTATCATTCCAAATGTGTGCCAGCTTCTAAGGTGTTGCGAGCAATAAAAACAAGTAATTTGACGCTGTGAATAGAAGATTTACGATTGTGCTAAAATTTTCCAACGAGTGTTACAGTAGCGTGTTGTGACTCGTGGCGAAAAGGAAGAATGCAAAGCTCAATGAAGTGTGCCTCACCACAGCAGAGGTGCCGACGTCGGTGGTGTCAACAGAGCCTACCGCAGATAGGTCATCGATCAACCGTGGCGACGACGACGACAGTTTGGTGCTACTGCCATATGATGTAAGTGTGATGTTGGTCGAGATCGCATTGAACTTGCCACTATATGTACTTATATAGCGAACTGCACAGCATGGGCCAAACTTGAACACAGTGCGGCCAGGTAGCTATTTGTTGAGCATAATTACGCCGGTTGTGTTCCATGCCTCTGTACGTTGGTTGCTGTCTGCTGGACTTGGCCTAGTAGAGTGCATGGGGTAGAGAATACTTCAATACTTCCAAGCGAGCGGGTTAAATTGAATGGCATGTGTGTGATTGAGTGCGGTTTTTTAACAGGCTAATCGGTAATGAACTTGAATGCTAGGTTGGGTACACACATGGCTGGTTGATTTGACGAGGGGGTGGAATGTGAATGTTGAATGTTTTGTTTGTTGTTCTAAGCTGTTGGAATTCATTTTCCGAGATTGTTGGGATTGTCTTGCGGTGCGTGCTGGTTGAAACAGGTGAATTGTAGAATTATGGAAATTGCATGGCTTTAGGCTATATTGCTAAGTGGGACAGTGCTAGTGTACAGATATCACGTTACTAATTTCATTTTACTACATTTCCATTTCTTCCATGCAGGCGTCCAGACAGAAAAGTGTTATTTGAGAACGGTCGTTGCATTTTTAGTCATCACGTTCGTACTAGCACGTGAGATGTAACATTCGTTTGAGTTTCTAATCACTACAAAATAAAGAATGTACACAGGGAAAACTGAGCGATAAAAAAGTCGTTTCAAAAAATGATGTGGTAGATTCATCAGAATCCATCTGGCTTATATGACTGGAATAAGCGAGTTACTTTTTCAGTAATTTGGCTTTCATGCAATATTTACAAATTTATTTTTAACATTGCACAGTGGTCCAGAATGCAGATTTAGGTGGAATGATATGTTTTGAGCCTGAAATTGAAACTTTAGTCTAAAAGTCTCTTCTGTTCCTTATAGTTAGGCCCTCATTTTTATGACAATGAATTCTAGGGTGGTTCCTATTATCATTAAAATAAAAAATATAACTTTTTTGTTTGAATAAATTAAGGTATACATTCTTCTTATAGCTGAGCCATGAAATTTATCATGGAAGTCATCTTCTAGAGACTTTAAGACGAATGTTTACTTGTTGCCTATATCTTGTTATAAATGTTGTTAAATTCAAATTGATTTTATACGAGTTTTAAAAATAACATACCTCTATTTTTTCATATTATTGAGAATAACATACGCCCTTTCCAATGCCATAAAAAACTTTTTTTTTGTTTGCCCCAACCAGAGATATTAACATTTGAAAAGTGCATATTTTTAGTGTAATAACGTCAATAACTTTTGATCGGTGAAAGATATTGACAATTTGCAAAATTTGCGCCTTCTTAAGATCTAAAAGTTATTTGAAGACACCTTTGCACAGTGGTTCAAAACCCCCCAAAACGTGCGTTTTTTATTTTTCGGTATGAAAACGACATTTTAGAAGGATGGTGTTTTCAGAAGAGTTGCAGAATTTTCAAAGGGCTATCGTTTGGTGCTGAGATATTGCTGATCTATCCACCTAGAAGGGCAGGGCAACCCCCCTGACGATAATAGGTTAAGGTATTGCCGAAGCCAACTTTTCCCCTATGTTGATCTTGTTGTTGAATTTTGGTGCATTTTGATGTGTCGGTTTCGTTCAGGTCATCTTCTGTGTTGACAGCGTTTAGACTTTTCCCCGCACGACCACAAATAGGATTGGGTATTGGTAATATAATTCACAACAGTTTTGGAACAATTGGAAGCTCGATACCATTTGATCGGTATATGTTTGGATTTAGCAGACCGATTTGCCTTTCCATATGCTCAACTTATTGTGACGTTAAGTGTGCATTTTCTTTTGCAAACAGTAATTTTCTTTGGCGACATAAAGTAACTGATGATGGTAGAGTATTGACCCAAACTATTTCCTCCGTAACTGACCCAGTTTTCTTTGCTACTATACGCAGAAGGGTCGAGAATACGAATATGTACGAATCACTATACTCCTTAACTTCACCGTCTTTGAGCTTGTCACTAAAACCTTGCTTATATTTGGCGTGATTACTGCTGCCATCACACACCCACTTGTACATAACGGTTAGTTCATAGATACCATAGAACTGTTGCAGTTTTTCATCAGGAACCTGACTGCTTACTAAGCGGGTCGTAGTGTGGTCCAGAAGTTCTTGAAGCCTAACTACTGCCACGGATGGCGAAATCGATAATCCTGTATAAGGCATAAGTGTAATTACAGTTTTAGTTCATCCTATAGCCCCTTTTAAAATTTACCAGATGTATAAAACATTTTCTTTGCTTCGAGAATTTTTCCATACGCTGGATACATATCTGCGCCGTTTTGAAGAATACTAAACCGAATACTCGTGTATTGCGCTTTCGAGAAATTATGTTAACATATAAACGCAAGATATTCTTCTGGCGGTATTCTCCAGAAGAAGCTCTTGCGTTTATATGCAAACATAATTAGATTTTGGTTTCTGAGGTTTCCATTGAACTTGGTGCTTTCATGATGTTCTCTACAATCTCAAATATCATCAAGCGGTTCAACACTAGATGCTGCGGCAAACATCAGTTCCTTTGGAGAAAAATGCTCCCGCAATTCACGCGCCCTATTTGTGCTCGACTATGGGCGACCCTTGGCGTACTCGAGACGTTCAGCGTCTCAAAAATTAGTTTTCCCTTCAACCAGTTCGAACAGATTTTTTTTTCAAATATTCCCCAATGACGGCTGCTTTTCCTCCACCAATTGTTGAACTTGGCAATGAAATCTTTTATTTTTCGCTTCCGTGATATTCAACACACTGCCAGATATTTTCTGTACATGATCCAACAGCTCGGTCACAACGTTCCCTTCCATTGAAAGGTAAACCAGCTTCTTGTTTGCAATGAATATTTCTGTAAATACTTATGACTAATAAAAGTCCTACCATATTTGTGAAAATACACTTACTTTCCGTCATCTTCGAACACCTAAAGCATCAGCGCGTGCAGTTTTCTTGTAAAATACTGAATAATAATACTGTAAAATACTGAACAATGAAAACTTCGGCTGATTTAGAGAGTATCGATACTCAATACAAGGCTGGATACTAGAGATTCGATTGAAATTCGCTTCGTCAGATTATTTTCGGTTAACGATCCGCAGTATTGAAGATCTTGAATAGTTCTGATCATAATGTCAGTTTTGATACTCTCCGAACCAACTAAATCCAATTGCATAGATAACTTCGTTCAAATATTGTGAGAGGTAGTTCATGCTGATGGTTAATATTGACGTATGAACTACGTCTTTGTGGAGTAAACTGGGGTGCAAATTAAAAAAAAAATAGTGTGACGAAATAGTGTCAGGTTTTGAACGCTTATAACTTGACCTATTATGGATGGATTTCGAATCTTATTGCACCACCTGATTAAAATTTAATGTAAGATTCGTTTGGTGTAAATATTATAGTTTTTTTTATCTATAATAAACTATTGAAAATTGATCAAACATTTTTACCATAATCAACCATTCAGTGCTCGCTTGCTCTCGCACTTGCTATGACTATCATACAGATAGCCGATAGTGAGGTTATAAAAGAGCGCACCTGTAATTTTTTGTGTTCGTTCATCTGCGGATGTAGGGTTACGGTATGTAATGTGGGTCTAGTCCTTTCATTCGGCCTATCACGCAAATAAATAATTAATTAAGGAATATTACACAAAAAATAAGGAAAATATTGATCACTGATGGTTGATAAATGTGTACCACACACAAATCAATTTATATCACAACATTTCAATACATTTTCAGCTCTCGTAAGTAATAAAACTGGTTGAGAATATCACAATGTTCGGAGTTTTTAGCCGCCATGACTTATAAGGTTAAGATGGGAAGGTTGACTGACGATCATCAAATGGCCTGATTATGGCATTTATTGATTGGAATTACCTGATAATACACACTTGACGTAAAACTTACAGTTGCTGTTTGAATATTTTATGTTTATTTTAATTGTTTAACAACGTTTTCACAAGTAAAACATGGACCCAACTTTAGGGACACATTTCTTTTCTATGTTCCTAACTATGGCCCATGAAATTCATTTGACAGCATATAGCAATAAGAGTAACGTCAACAATGTTGTTTTGCATTTGGATGATAAGGAACGAACAGGAAGGGAGATTTTTTCTGCCAAACCTGTATAATGAACATCACAATGTTCTGATTTAGATATTCTGCGGTCAAAAGACGATAAGCGAAATTTTTAATTTTTAATTTTTAAATTGAGTGATTTAATGTAGTTTTCGTAAAATTTTCTCTAAGAAATGTTTTGAGGAATGAAGAGCATTAAGTTAACAGTGATAGTGATAAAAAAAAATACATCAGAAAACGTTACCAAGAGCGTTTTTTTGAGGATCAAACAAGATAGGACGAAGTTGCATCCATAAATAGACCCAATTTGGGGACAATAGACCCATATTACATACATTTCCCTCGTGAGTTATTGTCTTAAAAAAAGTAAGTTTTTCAACTTTTCGTGGTTTCTGATAGCAAACGACATGATAAGCATATCTAAGCATACCATTTAGCAGTAGAATATCGTTTGCAGGTAAATTCATTGATGAGTTATGATTAAAAACGTAATCGATGGCTGCATATTAGACCGAGGTTAGGGACGTATACCCTATTAACGCAAGAGAAAGTCAGTGAAGCGAATCGATCAAAGGAGATCGAGCCTTTTAAAATGTGTTAACTAAACAGAGGGTTGATGTCTTGGTGAAAGTTGTTCAGATGGATAAAGCGTATTGGATGGTGGAATGCTCAGTTCATAACTCGCTCACCAGGTAGCGAGAGTGTGCCATTTGATTTCTAATTACTTGCTTAAAATGGCATCCCGATTTGGTTGGTGTCTTCGGAAACGTTGTGCAGGTGAACAATACCTATTAGATGCAATATACAAATGTTATATGATGTCAGATGCACTGCAATGTATTATAAACTGGAATGTTATATGAAATG